TATTATTTTTATTTTTCTAAAAATTATTTTATTTAACTTTATTTATGTAAATTTGCTGAGGGAAGGGCAGAGAGAGGCAGAGGACGAGGAGAAAGAGCAAGAAAGAAAGTGAGAAAGCAAGCCGCCGGGTCTGGGTCACGAACCACAGTTGGCCATGTGGGAGTCCAGTGCTCTTATTCACCATGCTATCTGTACCCCAAAGATTACACTTAAAAAAAAAATTGGCAGCAGTTAGCATAACGGCTATGTCGCTGGACTCCCACGTAGTCGACCACAGTTCGTGTCCCAGACCCAGTGGCTTAAAACTCACGCCGGGCACGTGTGCGTATGTACCCAAGATCCCGAGAGGAGAATGGAGGAGAAGGGATTGCGGCATGACCATCCCCCCTGGGGGTTGATTTCTCGCTGTCTCTCTGTCTCTCTCTGTCTGTCTGGCGAGTGCATGAGCCCTATAGTGGAAAAAAAAAGCTCTCCAAAAAAAGAGAATCATTTAACTTTATTTTAAGTTACTTACTTATTTATTTAAATTTGACCAGAGAGGGACAGAGTGAGAGAAAGAGAAAGAAAATAAGAAAGCAAATCGCCTGGTCAGGGACTCAAACTCTGGTCAGCCATGTAAGAGTCTAGCACCCTTAACCACGTGCCACCTGCTGGTCCCCAATAAAATAACTTTTTAAAAACATACTTATTTTAAATTTATTTATTAATTTATTTAAATTTGAGCAGAGGGGAGAAGACAGAGAGAAAGGGAAAGTGAGAAAGCAAGCAGCCAGTTGTGGGACTTGAACCAGTCAGTCATGTGGCAGTCCAGCACCCTTAACTACATCATCTGCCAGTCCCCCAATAAAATAATCCTTAAAAAAAAAATTAGAAATCCTCAGTCCAGGAATCCACTTTAATAACTTTCTTAAAAAGAATTATTTATTTATTTATTTCCATTTGCTATTATTTTTTAACTTTACCAAAGAAAGAGAGAAATAGAAAGGGAGAAAGCAAGCTGCCAAGTCCGGAATTTGAACTGTGTTCAGCTATGTGAGAATCCAGTGCCTTTAACCACCACACCACCTGCTAGTTCTCAGGAATCCACTTTAAGAATGAGCTACTCTGGGCAGCTGATGGAGTGGTTGTTAAGGGTGTCATACACCCATATGGCCAACCGAAGTCCCAGTCCCAGACTAGGAGCTTTGCTTTTTTACTTTCTCTGTGTATCTCTCAAGAAATATTAAAATAATAGTAATAGGGGCCAGCAGGTGGCATGGTGGTTAATAGCATTGAACTCCCATGTGGCCGACTGAGTTTGAATCCCAGACCTGGCAGCTTGCTTTCTCACTTTCTCTCTCTCTGGTCAAATTAAAATCAATAAACAAAGCCAACAGAATAATTCTTTAAAACAAAAAAAATATAAAAAAAAAAAAAAAAAAAAAAAAAAAACTACTACTCAGGGGCTGGGAGGTGGCATGGTGGTTGAGCAGTTTGACTCCCAGACCGTGGCTAGAGTCCCAGATCTGGTGGCTTTCTTTCTCACTTTCCCTGTCTCTCTCTAGTCAAATTGAAAAAATAATGACGACAAATGGAATTAAGCAAATAAGTTCTATTTATTTATCTATTTGGAGAGGTTTTTGCTACAGGGCACGTGTGCTCACCAGAAAGAGACAGAAAGCAAGAAATCACCACCCACCCCCCAGGGGCATAGCCATGCCACAATCCCTTCTCCAGTCTCCTCTTGGGGTCTTGGGCATGCACGCACAAGTGCCTGACATGAGTTCAAGCCACTGGGTCTGGGACTCGAACCGTGGTCGACTACATTGGAGTCCAGTGACAGCCATCAGGCCCGCTGCTGGTCCCAAATTCTTTTTTTTTTTTTTAATAAACAGAATTATTCAGGGACAGCAGATGGAGTAATGGTTACATTGCTGGAGTCCCACACGGTCAACTGTGGTTTGAGTATCAGACCTCCCAGCTTCAAAGTCATCCTGGGCAAGTGTGTGTGTGTGTGTGTGTGTGTGTGTGTGTGTGTGCCTAAAACCCCAAGACAAGAATGGAGGAGAGGGGACCATGGTATGGCCATGCCCCCTGGGTGTGGGGAGGATTTCTTGCTTCCTGTTCCTCTGTGTCTCTCTCCAGCGGGCACATGCCCCATAGCAAAAGTCTCTCTCAAAAAAAATAAAAATAAAAATAAAAATAAAAGAATCATTCCGTTTAATTACTACTGGTTTTTTAAAGAGAACTATCTATTTTAGGGGCCAACAGGTGGTATGGTGTTTAAGGCAGCTGGATTCCTGCAAGGATGACCAAGTTTTCAGTCCCAGACCTGGCACCTTGTTGAAACTTATGGTCAAATAAATAAATATTTTTAAAAAAATAAAAAAAAATGGGGCCGGCAGGTGGTGTCGTGGTCAAGAGCACTGGATTCCCACATGGCCGACCACGGTTCAAGTTCCGGACCTGGAGGCTTGCTTTCTCACTTTCCCTTTCTCTCTCTCCTTGCCCCTCTCTGGTCAAAATTTAAAAATGATTGGGAACCAGCAGTTAGCATAATGGCTATGTCGCTGGACTCCCATGTAGTCAACCGTGGTTCGCATCCCGGACCCGGTGGCTTAAAACTCACGCCAGGCGCGTGTGTGTGCGTGCCCAAGTTCCCAAGAGGAGAATGGAGGAGAAGGGATTGCGGCGTGACCATCACCCCTGGGGGGTGATTTCTTGCTTTCTATCTCTATGTCTCTGTCTGTCTGGCGAGCGCACACGCCCTATAGCGAAAACCTCTCAAAAAAAATTAAAAATGATTAGCAACAAATGGAATTAATTAAATAAATATTAAAAATAAAAAAAGAAACTTATGGTCAATCAAGTGGGAATACAGTGCCTTAACTATGTCACCTGCTAGTCCTTGTAACTTTTATGTTTTTACATTGTGTATTTTCTGTCATAATCTAAGAAAATAATTTATCATCCCTATGCTCACATTTCTTTCATTTGTTGGACTTCTGTACAAGTTTTCACACAATTTTAACAAGTATTTTATAACTATCAATACAAACTTTCCCGCTTTTTTCACATTTACAAAGTTATGATCCAGTGTACAATCTTGCCTGTGGACCAAGAGTAGACTGCTCATACCAAAGAAGTTTCTCTGTGTTTTATGTCATGGTTTTGAATTGAAACAGGACTAAACACTTTTTTGTATATCTATCAACCTAAATTTTCTTCAAATGTGTCTGCTGTGTGGCAAATGTTGTGTGAGAATGAAAGCTTTCCCAAGTTCTTCATTTAGAGTTTCTCTCTTGTATGAATCCTTTCATGCTTTCAAAGGGAACTGTAACAATGGAAGGCTTTCCCACAGCCCTCACATACACATGGTTTTTCTCCAGTATGAATCCTTCAATGCATTTTCAAGTGATGTGGAAAGTGAAAAGCTTTCCCACATTCTTTACATATATAAAGTTTCTCCCTAGTGTGAGTTCTTTCATGTATTTGTAATCAATGGGAAAAATGAAAGGCTTTGCCACATTCCTTACATATATATGTTTTCACCCTACTGTGAGTTCTTTCACGTATTAGAACCCGATAGGAATAACGAAAGCCTTTTCCGCATTGCTTACATTCATAGGGTTTGTCTGCAGTGTGAATTCCTGTGTTTTCAAAAGGAACCCTGAGAAATAAAGGCTTTGGCACATTGTTTACATTCATAGGGTTTCTTTCCAGTGTGATTTCTTTCATGTTCATGAAAGTAACTGGGGCGACCAAATGCTTTCCCACATCTTACACTTATAAGTTCCATCTCTGGTGTATGTAATCATGTGTCTGTGAAGATTCGGGAGACATGCAAATGCTTTGCCACACTACAGACATTTATAGGGCGTCTCTCCACTGTGAATCTTCTCATGCGTTCGAAAGTAACTGAAGCTAGAGGAAGTTTTACTGCACTGCTAACACTCATAAGGATTCTCTCTAGTGTGAGTTCTTTGATGCATCTGGCAGTGAATGGCCTGAAAGATTTTCTGCATATCTTACATCCATAGGATTTTTCTCCAGTGTGGTTTCTTGCATATTTCCAATAGGCACTAGAACAACTGAAGGCTTTATCACACTGCTTACATTGATAGGGTTTCTCTCCAGTGTGTGTTCTTTCATGGATTTGCAAATGACTAAAACAAATGAAGGCTTTCCCACACTGCTTACATTCATAGTGTTTCTCTCAATTGTGAGTTTTCTCATCCATTCAAATGGAAGAGGGATGACTGAAGGCTTTCCCACATTCCTTACATTCATAGGGTTTCTCTCCACCATGGGTCTTTTTATGTATGTGAAAGGAATATAACTGTATGAAGACTTTCCCACACTCATTATACTCGTAGGGGTTCTCTCCACTGTGAGTTCTCTTATGTTTTTGAAGATAACTGGAACAACTGAAGGCTTTCCCACATTATTTACAATGATGGAGTTTCTCTCTGGTTTGAGTTCTTTCATGTTTTTGAAGATAACTGGAACAACTGAAAACTTATCCACATTGTTTACAATGATGGAGTTTCTCTCTGATTTGAGTTCTTTCACGTATACACAAGTAACAGTGAAATTCAAAGGCCTTCCCACACACCTTACATATATGTTCGTATCCATGTTGCAATACCATGTGTGTTTCAATACCTGGGAGGCATGTGAACACTTTTCCACATTCCTTTCATTTGTAACGTTTATCGCCACTGTGAGTTTTTTCATGCTTTTTAACGGAGGCAAAACAATGAAAGGCTTTACCAAACAGCTTATATTCCTAGGGTTTCCCTACCGACTGCTGGTCCCATCTTCTCTCTCTCTCTCTTTTTTTTTTTGAGAGCTTTTTGCTATAGGGCGCGTGCGCTCACCAGACAGAGCGAGACAGAGAGAAAGTGAGAAATTACCCACCAGGGGGGATGGCCACGCCACAATCCCTTCTCCTCTGTTCTCCTCTTGGGATCTTGGGCATGCACGCACACACGCCTGGCGTGAGTTTTAAGCCACCGGGTCCGGGACGTGAGCTGTGGTCGACTACATGGGAGTACAGTGACATATCCATTACGCTAACTGCTGGTTCCCAGTCTGATTTTTTACATGTAACTTAAATAAATTAGGATAATCAAAGGCTTTCCCACAGATCTTACATTTATAAGGTTCAACACCATTTTGTGTTCTCACAGTTCTTCCCACACTTATAAGAGAAAAGAAGAGATTTCCCCATGGTTTCTCTGCATGTTCCTGATATTCATATGCTTTCCACGCTTTGTGAATGAATGACGCCTTCTGCACTGTTTTTACATGATTTGACTCCAGGAGATGTTTGCTTGTTCAGGTTACTTTCTGTAATATGACCAACAGTTTCTCCGCATGGATCACTTTCTTTCTTCTCTTGTTGTTTGTGTACTACACACCTTCTGGAAAGAGTAAGAAGCACATTAGTACAGATTTCTGGATTAGTATGTCTATTAAACAATAAGGACTAAACATCATATGTTTACCAGGTAACATATAGAGTTCATACACAGAATGCTTTGAAAAGCATAGATTTTATATATGTTCTGCAGGGGCCTCCACTACAGCTACTATCAAAGCAGTGACATTGATATGTGGTTTCTTTATACTAATTCCAAGTGAACTACTTTGCAAGCCTTGAACATTTACGTTATTCTTTTTTTTTTTTTTTTGAGAGACTTTTCCTATAGGTCACATATGCTTAACAGAAAGACAGAAAACAAAAAATCACGCCTAAGAGCAGATGGCCACGTAGCAATCCCTTTTTTTCCATTCTCCTCTCAGGATTTTGGGCATACACGCACACATGCCCAGCATGAGTTTAAGGCAGCTGAATCTGGGACTGAAACCATGGTCAACCACGTGTGAGTCAAGCAATGTAATCATTACATCATCTGTTGCTCCCATTATTTTTTTAAAGACATTTTTGATGTAGAGTGCATGCATTTGTCAGAGAGACAGAAAGTGAGAAATCACCTCCCTGGAACAATGGCCACACCATTATCTCTTCTCCACCATTCTCCTCTCAGGATTTTGGCACGCATGCACAGTCATCTGGTTTTGAGTTCCAAGCCACTGAGTCCAGGATTTGAATCATGGTTGGCCACATGGGAGTCCAGTGCCTTAACTACTATGCAATCTGCTGACCCCTACATCACTTTTAAGTACATAGCTTTGGAGGTATTCTAAGAATAAGCTTGAACCTGGCTTTGTTCTCTTTGCCTGTGTTTAAAATGGGAAGTGGTGCCAGGTGGTGTGGTGGTTAAGGGCATTGGACTCTTACCTGGTCAAACATGGGTCGAGTCTCGGACCGGGTAGCTTGATTTCCCACTCCCCCCAGCCCCTCTCTCTGTACCTCTCTGGTCAAATTTAAATAAATAAATAAATAAGGTTAAATTTTTTAAAAAGTATTAAAAAAGTTATTTCATGATAGGTGTTCCATGGGACATTGATGTCTTTTTGAGTGCAAATTATCTTAGATTTTTTCCTGGTATTTTGATACTGATCTTCAATAGTCTCATCTTTCCAGTTTCTTGCTAAAATACAGACCCATAAAAATTGATGGATTATTACAAACACATTAAAAGAAAAACAGACTAGATTCTAAGGTCATGGTACACTATGACCATCCTGATTTATTCACCAATGTACTCTGTTTTCTATGTTGTAAATCTGAAAAAAGCACTGATGATTAGAAAACACCTATTTCTTAATTGAGAAAGTGAAGAAGTGTCATCATCCTTACCCGTAGAGGCCAAGTTCCTGAAGATTTCCTGCATCACATCTCTGTAGTTTCCTCTGTGAAGGATCCAGCAAAGCCCACTCTTCCTGTGTGGAGTTCACAACCATATCCTCAAATGCCACTGAGTCCTGTAACATCCCACATGTGTATAGAGAGGGGTCAGAATGACAATAGTTGTGATCTAGACTAAGTTCATTAGACATTCATTCATTGTATAGGTTATGAGAATTCCTCATTTTTTTGAGAGAGAGATTTTTTTTTGCTATAGGGCACATGTGTTTGCCATAAAGAGAGACAAAGAGACAGAAGGCAAGAAACCACCCCCCAGGGGGATGGCCACACCACAATCCTTTCTCCATTTTCCTCTCAGGATCTTGGGCACGCATGCACATGCACCCAGCATGAGTTTAAGCCACTGGGTCCAGGACTCAAACCACTGTTGACTACATGAGAGTCTAGCGACTTAGCTGTTACGCCAATTGCTGGTCCCAGTAATTTCTTTTTAAATTTTTTTTTTTAATTAATCTCCTACAAGTAGAATGGAGAAGGGATTGTGGTGTGGCCATCCCTCCTGGGGGGAGATTTTTCACTTTCATGTCTCTGTCTCTCTGGCAAGTGCCTAAGTACATGGACCCTGTACCAAAAATCTCTCACAAGGGGGAAAAATATATAAACACCCCCCCACCACACACACACACAGACACATATATTTTTGGGCTAGTCCTATAGTCAGTGCAACAGTTAAGTTCTGTGTAAATGAGTCTATTTCCCATGTCCTACCAGGGTTCCAATCCCATCATTAGTAGGTAGAAAAACATGGCAGGTCCATGTGCCTGCCTCACTCCTGATAGCATCAAGAAAAAAAAAAAAAAAAAAAAGAACAATATCACCATTTCCCTTTTATGGGATGCTTTTCTCTTTGGCCCTCTCATAATAAAAGGAAACAATAACCAAAAACAGTCTTTCACAATCTTTAAAATATTAGATACATTTTGCCTCTAATGAAGAATAGAACATGAAATAAGTGAACCAAGTTTTTTTTTCTTTCCTTTTTTTTTTTTTTTTAAGAGGTTCTTGCCTTAGGGTTTGTGCAGTGCCAGAGAGAGATAGAGACAGTGAGAGTGAAACTTAGAAATCACCCCAGTTGGGTCCAGGACTCAAATCACGGTCAGCCATGTGGGAGTCCAGCAACATAACCACTAAGCCATCTGCTGGCCTCAGTGAACAAATATTTTCAAAGTAACAAACCAAGGGAGGGCAGTATGAACTGGGAACACAGAAACATCACTGTGTCTGTCAAGTCAGATCACCAGATACATGGGAGATAACCCACTCCAATCCAGTTCATTGTTCTAGTCAATGACCAACTTTCCTACAGACCCCGGAGTGATGTCCTTTCCCACTTTTGCCCAAAGTACATTTTGATTTTTATATTCCTGTACCAATGCAACGGAATATATTTTTCTTTTCCTTTAGGATAGTTTTCCTTCCTTCACTAGGGTGAGAGAACACAGAGGCAGGAATCATTTCTTTCTTTCCCTCTCAATATCTGCATCCCATCAACTGACCACCAATGTGTCTCTAAAAGTGGACCTGGAATTGGAAAGAAAAAAGCTGAGTGTTATTTTTAGAAAAAAGACACACCAGGACCTCTTCCTAGCTCCAGGGCACCCAGCATCTTCCCTGAGAGGTCCCCTGTCCCACATGCCTGAAACTCAGAGGTCTCTGTGGGAAGCCTAGAACAGCTGAGACTGTTCTGAAACCCAGCACCAGAAACAAACAGGAGGGGAATGCTAAGGGCAGTCACCTGGCAAAGCTTCCAAAGGGGACCCTTACCCTGAAGGCTCTCTGATGGATGTCTGCCTAGTGAAGACAGGAGGACTGGAGGCATAGAGCACAGGCGACTCAGCTCTCCCACCTCTCATGTAAAAAGGACACAAAAGAGGGACCAGAAGTGTGGCATGGTGGTTAAGTTGCTGAACACTCCCACATGGCCAACTATGATTCGCGTCTTGGACCTGGTGGCTTGCTTTGTCACTTTCCTTCTCTCTCTCTGGTCAAAATAAAATAAATGAATGAATGAAAAAATAAACAATTCAAAAAGAAAAGGACACAAGAGAAACCAAACCTTGCTGAAAGTCATTAGCTGTGTCAAAAACGTGAAAGTAATTGAAATACGTGGGCTTAGAATACAGGATAAGAATAGTGCCAGCAGGTGGCGTGGTGGTTAAGGGCACTGGATTCCCACATGGCTAACTGAGGTTCGAGTCCCGGACCTGGCGGCTTGCTTTCTCGCTTTCCTTCTCTCTTTCTCTCTCTGTCCGTCTCTAGTCAAATTAAAACATAAAAATAAATAATGTTAAATAAAGTAATACTAAAAAAAAATAACAAACCCTGGTGACCGTCCCGTCCGCCCACAACCCCGGGGACACGCGGTACTGAGAGGGCCGAGCTGCCCAGAGAAGGTGCTGGGTCCCTGCACACGGCCTGGACAGGACGCCCGGGGGTCTGGGGGCCGACTCAGCACCCACCTTGGGGCGGAAGGGACCGAGGGTCCAGCTGGCGCCAGCGGAGAACTCGGGGCCGCAGACTCCGGGGTGGACGCGGGAGGCCCGACTCAGCCACAGCGGATTCTACCAGACCCCAACCGCTCCTCTTGCCCTGGCTTAAGACTCCTGACCCCCCACACTCACCATTTCCTGGCTTCTGAGATGTCCCTAAGTCCTCCTTGGTCTCCCTCTCGCGGTGTGTGACGACACAGAGCCCACGGAGGCCAATAGGTACAGCTCGGACAGGGAAACACAGCAGGGAGCCATGACACAGGAAGAGCTCGCGAGATTGTCGAAAGCCGGTCCCCGCCCCCTGCCGGAAATGGGCCTCGAAGACCTGCCGCGGGCCCGCCCTTTAGCCCCTGATTGGCACTAAGGAGGCCCCACCCACTGGCGCTTCACTGACAGGACTCAAGAGTTCTGGAATGCTGGAGCAGGTATTTGGCAACAGCCCTGGACCCGCCAGGCCTCCCTCCTGCCCCTGCATGTGGCTCCCTGGGAGGGTTTTTGCATTTCTGCAGAACCTCTTTCTAGTTTCAGGGCAGATATGCCAGGATCTTCCTACACTCAATGGGACCTTGCCAAGCATCAACAGAAAGCAGCAGGGTTCCCGTAAATGATAATGGGGGGCAGCAGTTGGCATGGTGGTTGGAATGCTGGACTCCCACATGCTTGACCACCTTTGAGTCCTGAACCTAGCGGCTTGCTTTCCCATTTTCCCGCTCTCTCTCCCTCTATTTGGTGAGCACACATGACCTGTACCAAATTAAAAAATAACGTAAAAGAAAAGTCTTTAAAAAGATAATCAATGATTTATTCTTATTTTTAATATTTACTTTCAATTTCATTTACTCATTATGATTTCTTTAAATTTTGACCAGAGGGAGATGCAGAGAGTGAGAAAGAAAGCGAGAAAGCAAGCTGTCAGGTGTGGGACTCGAAGGTTGTCTGTCTTCCATGTGGAAATGTTCAGTGCCTTAGCCACCATGCCACCTACTGGTACCAATCAATGGTTTATTCTAAACATGAAATTGAGGGACCACATCCAGAAAAACACAAGTGTTTTACAGGATACAATAGTTTTTTTCATTTAGTTCTGAGAGGAGACACAAAGTTGCAAATAAAAAGTCTAAAATGTCGTCACATTGGCTTGGCCCAATAAGGTGCTACATTTGTCATTGAAAAACTTGCAGGTGACATAATGGTTAAGGGTACTGTATTCACACATGGCCCACTGCGGTTCCAGACCCAGTGGCTGGTGGCTGGCTGCTTGCTTTCTTACTTTCCCTCTCTCTTGCTAGTCAAATTAAAAAATAAGTGGGGCAGCAAATGGTGTGGAGGTTAAGGGTGCTGGGCGACTCATTAGGCACATAAAGGTACTCCTTATAAATTAGGTTTATCTACTGAAAATCCCCATCCCTTCTAGAAAAGAATTATGTACTAAGGACACTTTCTTACAGAATTCAACAGAATCATCTGCTTCCATGAATACCAATCAATGCAGTAGATAAACACCAATCTTACTAGTCATTCTACTGAGAACTTTATTATTAATAAACCAAACAGCAACTTATGGTATGCAATATTATTTATTACTTAAAATATATTACATATTCATTGACAACAGATATAATAGTCTTGGTGGTCTTTGGTAAGAATACATTCACAACAGCATCATTAAATTTTGATGTGATGAAGAACAAATCAATAGAGAGAAACTTTATTACCATGAAAATTCAAGCTCAAATGAAGGGATGAAACCAGCCTGAAGTTGTATGTAAATGGTGTTATCAATTCCTAAAATCAAACAGATAATCTGGCAAAATAATAGGCAAGCTTTATCTAACTCATGATAATAGAATTTTTAAAGAGATTTAACTTTATTTTTTCACTGTAATTTCACCAGACAGGGACAGAGTGAGTGATTGAGAAAGAGAGAAAGCGAGAAAGCAAGCCACCAGGCCTGCGACTCAAACTGTTGGTCATGTGGGAGTCCAGCGCCCCTAATCACCATGCCACCTGCCGGTTCCATACAATGGGACATAGTCAGATCTGGAAGTTGCTTTTCACACTTTACTTCTCTCTCTGCCCCTTGCTGGTGAGCATATGTACCTAGTAGCAAATTTAAAATAATAATGATAAATATAATTATTTAAAAGAAAATAAGCAAACTATTTTTAAGAAACACACACATAAATCTTTAAAAAGAGAAATTTCTTATCTAGTGATTTTTGAAGGCACCATTGCAGCTCTCACGATGAATCAAGACAGTCATTAATATATGTGCATACATATTGTTTGAGATTGTTGCTGGGACCATTACATCGCTGGACCCCCAAGCAGTTGAGTGCAGTATGAGTCCCAGATTCGGTGGCTTAAAACTCATGCTCGGAGGTGGACAAGTGGCATGATGGTTAGGGGCACTGGACTTCCACATGGTTAACCATGGTTTGAGTCCTGCATCTGGGAACTTGCTTTCTCACTTTCCTCTCTTGCTCTGTCCCTCTGGTCAAATAAAATAAATAAAGCTAAATAAAGTAATTAAAAACAGACAAACCCTCATGGCCATCACCTTTGGGGAGTGATTTCTTGCTTTCTGTCCCTTTGGCAAGTGCACACACCCTATAGCAAATTTCCCGATCAGGGACTTAAACTACTGTTGGCCATATGGGAGTCCATTGCTTTTAATCACTATGACACCTATTAGCCCTCAAGTCATGACTATTTTTTAAAAAATAATTATTTAATTTTATTTATTTTAATTTGACCAGAGAATGTGAGAGTGGGGGAAGAGAGTATGAAAGCAAACCACCAGGTCTGGGACTTGAACCATGGTTGGCCATGTGGGAACCCAGTGCCTTTAAGCACCATGCCACCTGCTGGCCCCAACGACTATTTTTTTAAAAAAACAATTATTTAACTTTATTTACTTATTTAAATTTTGACCAGAGAGGTACAGAGCTAGAGAACGTGAGGAAAAAAGTCACTAGAGCTGAATCTTGAACCATAGCTGACCATATGGGATTCCAGAACTTTTAATCACTATGCCACTCGGCAGCCCATCATGACTATTAATTACAGAATATTTCAAACCATGACCATATGAACTGATTGTCCAGTACACACAAAAACTCTTGCAAGGACCAGCAGATGGCGTAATGGCTGTCGCTGGACTTGCATGTAGTCAACTGCTGTTGGAGCCCCAGACCCGATGGCTTTAA